CTCTCCTCTTCCAGCGATCCGCCGGGCCACTATCAGCTGAATCATGCCTCTCTTGTTGCTCTCGATGGACATGGACTTGCGCAGGGTCTCCATCGCTTCCTGATTCGTTTTCTCCAGTAGAGACTCGCCATTAACGGCTATCAGCTGGTCATTTATCCTCAGTCGCCCGTCCTGAGACGACACACACATAAATAAACTTCTCTGAATCAACCTTTTGAAATAATGTATACAGTAGAAGACAAAATTATTAGCGTGAACTTTCAAATATTTCCCAAATAATGTTAAACAGATTCAGGAACCCTCGGATGAGAGGGGATATATATATATATATATATATACATGTGGGTCCTACAGCCAATCAGAGAGCTGCTCCTCACCTTGCAGGCGGCTCCTCCAGTGATTATAGACTTGACGAAAATGCCCAGGTCAGCGTGACTCTCTTTGGCTCTGTTTCCCTTCACGCTGACCCCTAATCCTGCCGAACCAGAGTCGTTGAGAGGGATTTCAAAGGTCATAAACTCTCTCGTTCCATCCGGCGTCAAAATGAGGTCATCTTGCTCTTTCTGACGAAGAAACAGATAGCGATACTGTGAGTTTTACTTTCTTGTTCAATATTAAAAATCATTAAAAATTTGATCAGGTGTGTTTAATTAGGGTTGGAACTAAACATCAGAGCTGTGGCCCTCCAAGAACTGAGTTTGACACCTGTGAATTGTGACACAAGTGACATTACACACCTCAGCTTTAATATATAACAAAAGTAGCAACACATCACATTACAGACTCAACCAGTGGGTTTGGGGTGGGTTTGATACAGCAACAATTCGACACCGGCCCTCCCGGACTGAGTTTGGACATCCCTGATCTAGGTCATTTAAATAGAGCCAAATGAGCCATAACAGAGCCTAAAGCATAGGTCTCAAACTCAACTCCCGGAGGGCTGCAGCTCTGCCCAGTTTTGCTCCAACTCTAAATTAACAGACCTGATCAAACGAATCAAGCTGTTCAAGACTACTAGAAACTACTAGATCAGCTGTGTTTGATTAGGGTTGGAGCAAAACTGTGCAGAGCTGCGGCCCTCCGGGAATTGAGTTTGACACCTGTGATCTAAAGAATAACTGTGCACTACCAAAACAATCATTGTACATTTTGATTTCATGTGAACCTTTATCTAAAACAAAAAGACTTTGTTAAATAGATTACATCTGTTTCTGATGAAATGAATGACGTTTACAGTAGTTAAACAGGATTACTTACAAACCACCATTCAAGCATAATTAAAGCTTTGGTGAGTTTTCAACTACAAATGCTGCTGATAAAACACACTCTCAAATCTGAGGACTTAATAACGGACCACTAAACATTAACATAATGGATGTAACATAATATAACACCAGCACAATAAACAAGCACAATATAGCCTTCAGCTGAATCGCAGAGTGCTTCGAGAGGTTGGGGATTAACACAGCGGTGTCACATGACTCATTAAACAGGATGTTTACAATAGTCGCTATGGAGATCTGCCTTGGCACCCGCATCACCGGCACAATCAAATTACAGCACAGAATGAAACCCATGACATACAGCCGGTCGACAGGGTGAAATACAACAATGCACTTCACTATAATTGAACAGAAGATTTCATATTTACACTACTGGAAAAACCAACCCATATCAGCTCCATGTGCAGCAATATCTGCATACAAGGCAGTGTTTAGATGCAGCCATTGTGTTTAGCTGATGGAGCTCAATTCAGGACCAACTAAATAGCTTGATCAGCTACCTTACAGCAGGGGAGTTTCAAAAAGGGTGATTTACTGGGAGAAGATATACTGAAATATTGATTTAAACATGAGCACAAAGTAGGCAAGAACCCCATACTGGAAAATTTGGTAACGCTTTACTTGAAGGGGTGTGATAAGAACCATTGGCTGAGATGTTGCTGTGCAAGGCTGATCTAAACGTTGGAGTGAAGTTTATTTATAAACAAATTTCGAGAGGATCACGTGCTTATGATTGTTCACAGCTGTTCCAACTTTAGCTAATGACTAATTATCCTATCAGACGATCCTTAACTCACTATAAACAACCAGACTTTCCTCATCTCAATATCTTTCCCTCCTTTCAAACGGGCGACGGTGGCCAGTGATTAGCGCTGTTGCCTCACAGCAAGAATGCCCCTGGTTTAATTCCTTTCCAAACCAGGCGACATTTCTGTGCGGAGTTTTGCTCGTTCTCCCCGTGATCGCGTGGGTTTTTCCCGGGTCCTCCGGTTTCCTCCAACAGTTCAAAAACAAGCACCATAAACAATTAATCCAAAATATTTTAGCCAAACACTGAGTACACCTTCTCAGCATCCATAACCGACACTTAGCTACAATAAGCAGGAGGGGGAGTCATCGAGATCTACCTGAGCTCAAACTCCCCTCTTGCCTTGCAACAGGAGGGAGCCCAAGGCTCGAGGATCTTATAAGATCAGGGCTCCCTCCCGGGACAGCACGCCAAACTAGCTTTACTATCAACCATAAGCTGAGTGTGAACTCTTGAAACATGCTTCAAAAACACCAGAGACACACTGTTCATTAAGGAGTCGTGAACCTGTGAGTGGCTTTTCACATTTATATTATAGACGACGTTGCATCAGCAGCAATCCAGCAAACACCCTCCAAAACGAGCTCTTTTCAAGCAGGCGAGTCATTAAAGGAGTGATTCACTGAGGGAAAATCCATTCTCTATAGCAGTTATATACATTAAAAGCAAAAGTAATGTGTTTTAAGAAAGCTTCAGCACACACACACACACACACACACACACACGCGCGCGCACACACGGCTGAAGAATGCCAGGTGCTTGGCTTTAGTCCAGCTGCTGATAGCAAAGAGGCTGGAGACGAGTTATAGAGATTCAGCCAAGCATTCAGGTGAGGCCCCTATCTCTCCGTCCTTTCATAATACACCACACACACACACACACACACACACACACACACACACACACACACACACACACACACACACACACACACACACACACACACACACACACACACACACACACACACACACACACACACACACACACACACACACACACACACACACACACACACACGCACGCACACGCACACACACACAGAGCTGAAGTCAGAATTATTCATCCTCCTGTGGTTTTTGTTTTCTTTTTCCAATATTTCCCAAATGATTCAGGAATTGTTCACAGTATTTCCTATATTGTTTTTTTCTTCTGTAAATGTCTTGTTAGTTTTATTTTGGCTAAAATAAAAGCAGTTTTTAATTTATTTTAAACCATGTTAAGGTCAATATTATTACCCCCCTTAGGCAAAATTAGTTTTGGACTGTTTACAAAACAAACCACTGTTATACGATGACTTGCCTAATTACCCTAACTTTACCCTTAGTAACCCTATTAAGTCTTTAAATGTCACTCTCTATTTTGTTCAGATCTTTTTATTGACATTTTACTTACATTTTCAAAAAGATTTGAACAATAGAGATTAATTATCTGCACTCCAACAGAGCCCCCCGCCCCACTGCATCATGTCTGTACAATATATTACGCACAATAATAATCTGTTTTATATATACATGCATGAGCAAATACAAGTAGATAAAAGTTCCCTCATATGTTCATATATTTATATCCATATCCAATCTTGTGATCGGAAATCGGGCCCAATCATGTGGCTTCAGACTCGATCAGAATCTGATGTCACGTCCCGATCAGGACTCGCATATAAAGGTATATGTGTATATTCTCATTATTTTTGAACACATCTATAGTCATGCGGTGGCACAGTGATAGACCTCTTTCTTGACTTCACACAGAAACAGCAACGTGTGCGGCATGACATCACTTTATTGCTGAGATTCTATTGGTTAAATGCTTGAAGCAGCTTGAAGCAGAAAGCGCGAGTATGTCTGCGGTCTGGAGGTATTATAAAGTTGATGACGACAACATTGCCATAGCAAACTGTGAGATATGTGAACTTAGGATTGCTTGCTGGATAATTTAAGTTGAGGTGCTGTTTGTTTTTACATTAGACTTTTTATATTTAATGTTGCACTAAACACAGCTGTTGAACGTTAAAATAAGGTTAAAAAAATAAACAATAAGGAACATCCTGGATCTGTTTCTTCACTCTTCTTTATTATTTTTTTTTATGCATTATAGAGGTATCGGATCGGGTTTCGCTATCGGCGGATACCTAAAATATCAAATGACTCAGAATTAAGGGTAAAAAGCCTGATCAGGACATCCCTAACATACACAATCAATCACAATAGGCTTAACAAATATAAAATAAAAGCATGAAATAATATAAATAGAAATTAAAACAAATAAAATAAAATGGAGGGAAGAAAAAATGAGAGAAACAAATAAACAACAGTCAAACTGCAAATATTAAATTTGGATCAATCTGGCTGCCATTCATTAATTTTCTTTCAGCTTAGTCCCTTTATTAATCTGAGGTCGCCACAGCGGAATGAGCCGCCAACTATTCCAGCATATGTTTAACACAGCGGATGACCTTCCAGCTGCAACCCATCACTCGGAAACACCCACTCATTCACACACATACACTACGGACATTTTAGTTTACCCAGTTCACCTATAGCACAAGTGTTTGTACTGTGGGGGAAACCGGAGCACCTGGAGGAAACCCACGCCAACACGGGGAGAACATGCAAACTCCACGATTTTCTTGCTGTAAGGCGAAAGCGTCTTCTTGTTTTTCTTTCTATCATGATTAGAAATGTGTTAAATACAAATCTTTCTGTTAAACAGAAATTGGGGGAAATTACACAGGAGGGTGAATAATTCAGACTTTGGCAGACGGTTCCGCAGCATCCGGTCACGCACTAGCCGGCTGAAGGAAAGTTTCTTTCCCCAGACTATCAGGCTGATGAACACATAACACACCCCACACAGACTCTTCCATACCCTAACTGCACACCATCAATATGTAGCATGCACTGCACTTTAACCAATGCATACTTGAAACAATACTGCCTACAACTATGTGGACACCTATTCATTGTACATTTCACTGTCAATCTTTGTCCTGTTTATTTTTTATTTTTTATGTTATTATGCTGTTGTATTTTGCACTGTCGTTGCATTTGCACTGTCTGTATTTTGCACTGTCTGGAGCCAGCACCTAATCCTTTCACTCATCATAGCACACGTATTGCTGATGATGTGACAATAAAAGGGATTTGATTTGATCTGCATATATTTTTCTTCATGATGCTTATCAGTGCTAGAGAGCCGGAGAGAGGCACATCATTGCATCTAAAAGACTGTTGTCCTCTCTGCGTGCTTGTTGATGTGTAATGACTGGCTAAAAATCACATGCTTGACTGGCGTATTATCGGCCGCATGCGACGCCACTGCATGTGTTCATCCTGACGCCTTCACCTGGATGCTGGATCTTAACCCGAGAGCTGCTATTGTCTGCTGAGAACCACCTGGGTCACCATGGCAACCGCTCGTGCAGTAGATGATGGGATGTGTGTGTGTGTGTGTGTGCATCTGTGTTTGT